TGCTCGATGCTGGAGCTGACAAAGACGCAGCAAACAACAGAACTGGAGCAACAGCTTTGATGATTGCAACAGACTTGGAAGTGGTGCGATTGTTGCTCGATGCTGGAGCTAACAAAGATGCAGCAAACCAGATGACTGGAGCAACAGCTTTGATGAGTGCAGCCGAGGGGGGCCACGTAAAAGTCGTGCGATTGTTGCTCGAGGCTGGAGCGGACAGAGATGCAGTAAACCTAAGAGGGGCAACAGCTTTGATGATCGCAGCTGAGAAAGGCCAGACGGAAGTTGTGCAATTGTTGCTCGAAGCTGGAGCTGGCCACAGAAGAAATCCAAGCGGAAATCCACTTTTAGATTTGTCGATTTCTTTGATGGAAAGAAGCTGGAGCCAGAGCTGACAACTCCTGTTCTACTTCGTAATGAGGTCCACATTGTGGTTCGTGTGAGCACATGAGAACTGCGCGAAAACACTGGAGCGCTGGAAGGTGGTTTTGTGCAGTTCTGGTGAACAGGTTTGGAGTTGCGATTGCAGTTCCTGGAAAATCACTGCGATAACATGACTTTGGGGTCCCACCTCTCCCCTAGGATTAGGTTGCCACGGACGAACCGAACCACTCGGCAGCTGGCAGGATTAGTGAGGGCACTGCTTTCGTGCCTCCTGACCCCAACTTGGACTACGCCGCTTGATCCGCATCCGCCTGGTACGCGGGCGTACAGCGCATACGCGTGTTCCGCGTGCTGTGTGGCCCAGTCGTGGAATGCATCCACTTTAGAGTCACTTCTTTGGTTCCAAGAGCCCTTGGTTTAGCTGCAGTGTACAACATACCTGGTTTTGCTTAAAGTGATTTATATATTTTCCCTATGGTTACATCCCCATTCTGGTGAATACGTATGTTTATGGTTTGTCCAAGTTCCTCAAGCAAATCCAAACATGGATGTGTATGATTTGTTCTCCCCCTTTCAGATTCCCCTAACAACCACTCCGTGGAACGTCCTCATGGTTACGTGGATGGCATGTGGGGTTCCGGAGGTGTTGTTCCACACCTAGGGGAGACCTGGGCAGGTAGCGACCCCCTGAAAGAATAGACCCGTCAGACTGGGCCACGGCATCTGCCCATTAAGTAATACCACATACCAATAATCCCACACATGGAGGCGGTGTTCATCCCTCAAAAGGAAGGGTTCACAGAGCTGGTGGCACTGAGCACCCTTTCAGCCTGAAAGTCCATGTTCATCCTAGGATATACCAAGGGATTAAAATGACCTCTGAGTCCTCTGTTAGGTGACCTGATTGCGAATGGTGATGAAGGGTTGTTTGTCCTTACGCCCAAGACAGAATATAACAGGTTGTGTTTTTACACCAGTGAGACCTCCCAGTTCAGAAGGAGAATTGACCAGTCTACCCAGCCAGCGCTCCCGATATTTCACTATGCACAGGCCGTGTGTTTACACCTAGACTGCGAGAGCCCACCTGTCCGCCCAGGTGCAGAAATTGCGGAACTTGGTTCAGGAGAATTGCGGAACCGCTTCGGGAGACGGAGACGAAGAAAAAAGACGGACCATCGATCATCCATCGCCGGGTTTGGTCATCGGCTCGTGGTCTGCCGTGTCTGTATGTGTGTGTGTGTGTGTGTGTCACACCCTGTAATTACCAAAGGGTCCCACTCCAAGCAGGGGCGTGTGACACTCTTATCCTATCACACGCAATGAAGCTGTGGATAAGAGTGGGAAGGGAAACTTGGCCGGTTTCCTGTACCTGCAGCATCCCTGGATGACTAACCCATTAATTTGGGGTCATAGCTGGGAGCTACGGTGATTGTTGCATGCCGTTAATTCAAGAGTGCTAAGTATCCAGTAATTAACTAGCTTCCGGAGTTGTTGAGTTGGTCAAACTCCTACAACTGCGCTGACCTTTCACCTTTCCGTTCACCAGTCAAGTGCCTTGCACTCGGACGAATTCAATCGAAGTGTGTTTAACACCATGGATTCTCATAGTGGCTCAAAGCATCGATCCATAATAAACGAATTTCATGGCTTTGTCCTGAGAAACGATCGTGGAGGAGTACTAAAATGATCAGCGAGCTAAGGTACCTGTTGTTCCTGAGCTAAAGTCTAAAGTACCTCTTAGATTCTGGAACATGGACTTGGCGGTTTCCTGTTTTCTATATGCTCGGCTGCCGACGACCAGGAGGAAACCGCTCTGGGAAAGCAGAGGCTGGACACCTGCCACGCGTTCCGCCGCAGATGACCTGGCACTTCTGAGGTGGATCACACCTACGCCGCCTATGGTGCTGTGTCTATTTTCTAACCCAGTGAGGAAATGTGGGTCACCTGAACAACCACTTTTTGAGGGATTGGGACACCCCACTGCAAAAAGAACCGACGAGTTGGGAGAAATTTTTTCCACGGAAACGGATGAAATCCATTAATCACTCCCCTGGGATTCACTCAAAAATGCAAACACCATGCCAGCAACTCCCATGGAATCTCATGTTTCATGTTGGGGTGGGAGGAGATCAGAAACTGCTAGGCGACTGGAAATTTTACCCGCCCCGCATTTTTTGAACCAATCCGACGGCCTTTGCAAGAGCAGAAGACAACTGTCCCGTTTTGATAGCCTTACTATCTTGGTTTGTGAGTTTTTTTTTTTAATGTGGGGGGGGAAGTCGATAGGGCTCCAAGTACCTCAGGAGGTACTTAGACCCTCCAAACCTACCCCAAACACCTCAGAAAGCACTTGGGTCGCTCTGTCCTTTGGTTCGTGGATCGCTTCAGCTTCAGCGACTGCGCAGGAAGGCTCGCTTCAGCGACAAAAACTTCACCGTAGGACTCTTGACTGACCGAGAGCGGCGATGGAAATGGCCGAGAGCGGCGATGGATTACACAGTCCCCAAAATAGGTCGAAAAGTAGGGGTCCCCACGTAGAAAATATATAAGAGAGAAGGTGAGTCGAAACCTATAAGAAATATAGCTAAAGATTATTGAGATCCCCATCTGGTCCCCCCGCGATCAGATGATTGGGGGGACCACAATACACTGGAACACAATCGAGACCATGGACGCCAGGCGGCGGGTCTGCGCGTGTAGGACCAGTGCTAGCCGGGAGGGATCCAGAGATGATGTGGATCCGGGATTTGTTGGCAGCTTGTTAGTACCAGAAGTGTTCCAATTACAAGTGAGTCTGGCCCTGGAAATGCAGGAACATCCAGATTGATCTCTTCACTTCTGAAGGCCGGTCAGAGATCTTCAAAAGAAACAGCTGCCAGCTGCCCACCCACACAACAGTGTGGGGCTGACAGCAAGGCCGGACGAAGCAGATCCAGTGCATCACAAAACGAGTCCGATCTGGTCACAGACCTACCTTCACCTTCAAAGCAGTCATGTCCCAGGACCTTGAGTTGCTGACCGAAATTGAGATCTAATTTAGGTCACTCAACTGGTCGTCCCTCACTTTTTCAGGTCACTCTTCGACTGGTGACTAAGTCGACGCCACGTGGCCCTCCAAAACAGCCCAGCTGTAGACCATCGCGACGCGTCGGATCCACGGCCGTCCGTGCCGAGCCCAGCGAGGAATGGCGGGCAACGAGTTCCCACGGAGTTGGACCTCACGGTTCCAGCTCTTCCGCGAAGGCGGGCACCGAAACGGAGCGGTTCCGGCACCGTGGTCCTTCCGTCAGGGGTGAACTCACGGCGTGTCACCGTTGGGACACGGTGGACTGGTGGCGCGGTTGAGACACCTGCATTCGTCAACGGAAGGTGGAGGACTGAAAGTGGGGGGAATCAGGTTTGCACAGAGCAAACCCGGGAAAGACCACTGCATTAAGAAGCAAGCAGAGCAGCTGTTTCCGGGTGTTCAATGGACTACCCTACACATCCCGACATATCCCTAATAGAGGTCTCCAGACAGGACACCCCAACAGCAGGACGCCCCGACAGGAAGCGCTACTGTAGGTGGTTAATAATTATATATAGAACAGCCCACCCCAAAGGGTTTCACCACCTCGTTGTCAGCATCTGAGGATTTCTCCCAGCCGAGCCTTGATTAGGCCGAAGTTCTCTTAGTGCTCGGAGTGTCCTTAAGTTGAAACGGCTGTCACAAGACCTCCAGCTAAGCTGTCTAATGCAGAATCAGAATCTTAATTGGAAACAAAGCAGACATGGATCGTAAAACCTTCAAGCTTAGGGGCTTACTGTATGAATCTAGGGTCTATCCTATTACCAAGGCCCAGTGGATTATGATGGTTAGGTTGCTGGCCTTGTTCCGCTTGTTTATTGGCTGTTACAGGTTTCCTAGGACAGACCCCATATTAACAAAAATGACCAAAGCTCCTGTTCAACCTTCAAGCCTATGCCCTGCGGGCTTATGAATCAAGATTAGACATGTACAGGAGCTCCGAGTTCCAATCGTCCAATCAGAGGACTCAAGCGCGACGGAACCTGCTTAAAGCCCTTTGCCGCCAGGCCGCGCGCATGTGGGCAAGCCTAGTCTGGTGAACCTGCAGGCAGGGCAGCAGCCAAAGAACTGGTGTATACCAGAGGCCCCACAAACCATCAAAAACCTGTCTTTCCCTAGCAAATGGCATGGTTTTTGTATGTTTTTGTATGCGAATGGAAGTGCAGCGACACATACAGTGCAACTTGTACATATATATGTACCATATGTACTTTGGCTCAAGGATCAAGCGACTAGAAAAGGTGCGGTTTCCGTTCCGACGCTACGCCGCTTATGGATCGTCAGTGATAGCTTCAAACTTCGCTGATTAAGATCCACTCGCAGGTTATCAGCCGTACGCGCTCTTTATAGCCGTACGAGCTACACGAGACCAAGAACAAGACTAGTCATTACAGAAACCTGCAATGTCAAGCTCAGGAGGAAATGGAAGCGAACCCTATTCATTCGCTGCTCCTGGTGGTCCCAACACCATTTCGTCACCAGACTCTACAATGGGTACTGATTCATCAGCAAATGCTGACGTTATCACTATGCCTACTGGATCACAAATCTCGGAAAGATCCGTGCCACCGGCTCGGAATCTGACCGATCTTACACCCGTAGGACCAAGAAGATCGATGAGAGCTACAACAAGATCTACATCGCCTATAACGTCTACCGCGAGATCCCCAAGAAGGAGTATAGAGAAGAGACGTGATGATGATAGAGGAACAAAAGAGCAAAGAAGAGAGATTCAGCTGGGTGAAGAATTGAGATCGGCGAGAAACGCATACAATTTTCTTCATGAAGAATATGAATGCATCCAAGCCGGATACTCACGACTACACCACGAGGCTGAAGTGGAGTTCAGGCAAATGTCTGACTACAACAGGAAGATGCAGGAACATCTACAAGAGATGACACAGGAAGATGAAGGAGCGACAATAAGAATTGAAGAGCTCGAACACAAGCTACGCTTGGCGGAATCGACAGCTGAACATATCTACATGAGATATCAAGAGCTTGCACAAGAAACTCATCAAGAACATTCAGAGCTTGAATCTGTGAAAGCAACGAAGGACAGAATGTCCCAAGAGCTTCAAGCAGCAATTGGACACATCCAAGAACAGAATGAATCTTCATTGGCGATCAATAGAAGATCAAAAGCCATTCAGGATGAGAACACAGCCTTCGTCGGAATAGCTGACCAGATACAAGCTAGAATGATTGCGCTACAGGATGAGAATGTCAACATGCACGAGGTGATCCAACACCAGAGAGAAGAACAATGGAACAGTGAGGTCAGGGAAAGACGTCTTCAACACAGTGTTCACTCATCTCAAGATCAGAGCAATCAGGAAGCTATGGTTATTGATCATCTACGAGGTCAACTAGCTATGGCACGTGGAGCTGAACTCAACGCGAGAGCGGAGATAGAAGAGATGGAAGTGGGCATGAGGATGGAGATATTTGTATGCCAGACTGAAGTCTCTGCTAAAGAAATGGCAGAAATGAAGGCGAGCCACCATGAATACGAAGCAAACGTCGCAAAGGAGGTTATCGCAAAAGGAGAAATATTCAACGACGAAGTCCTAGAAGGTTCCATCCGTGAACGACAACAGTTGAAAGACGCCAACCTCGCTCTATCCGAAGCCAACGCACAGCTGAAAAGAGAGAATATGATGAGAGCTCCTATGTTCGGCGATGATGGTGCTGAAATTCAACAGAAGATCAGAGAACTGGAGAATGCACTATTGGAAAGCCAGAAGGAGACAAAGAATGTCATTATGGAAAATGCGAAATTAAAAGCAGAAGCACGAATGGCACCCATAGTCTCTCGGTACAGCAAGCGTCCTAGTTCCAGAGACCGCGGGTTACCAATCCACGCGTCCGAGGAAGATGAGATTCGGAACGCAAAAGAGGAGGCGAAGCACTACAAGGACGGGTACAATGAAATGACAGAGAGCCGAGATGAGATGTATGAATGGTATGCCGAAACCCACAATGAGTACGCCGAGGAAAGGGACAAATCAATTGAGCTATCCGAGGCGAACAAATCATTGAGGGACAAGATTTCAGAAGCAGAAGCATCCTCTTCATCTCATCTTGCACCGGCAACCTCTACAATCATGAAAGTATCGAGGAAGGAAGAATCAAAGATAAACGTTCCGTCATGGCCCAGGATCAATGATCTTGGACTATGGAAGGCAAATCTCATTCAATCGATCATCATTGCGGCCAATGATTCAGATCAAGAGCCCTGGATCGACTGGATCAAAGAAGCCATGGACGATCCTGATCCGGACAAGTTTGTCGACTCAGGAGACCAAAGATTCCATTCAATCGATGCCAAACTCGGCCTAGCTCTTACCAAGGTCGTCATGGATGCGAAAGATGATGGTTCAGGTGTAGCTATGAAGTTGAGGACGAGGATCAATGCAAAAGGGAGAACATCAAGCCTCATAAAGGGAAGAGAGGTCCTAGCCCTGATCCTTATGAATTTCAAGACAACATCAAATGTGGAAGTCTTATATACTTCAATGCACCTCTACCAACTAGAATATCAAGGAGACAAGAACTTATCGTTGTTCTTCCACACTTGGGATGAGATTCTGGCAGGAATGAAGCCCGTTGACGTCCCGAGCGACGAAACTCTTCGGGATCTCCTATGGAGAAAGATCAGGAACTCAAACCTCATGGCATACGACATCAGCGCCTACAACAGCATGAACGACGATGATGCCAAGAAGACATACAAACATCTACGTGATATGATCAGAAGGCACATCGAACGGCAAACTGAAGACAGGATGATCCTGGAAAAGGAGAAGGCAGTGAAGAATGTGGCCAATATCTTTCAGAATCTCAAACCAGGCGGACCTGCTCCAAAACTAAAAGCTGCACCAGCTGATCCGAAGAAGAAACCAAAAGGGCAACAAGAACAGGTTGTCTCAGAAGACGCTGCTGCAGTGAAGCCGAAACCCAATCCCAAGAAGCATCCTGAAGACAAGAACAAAAAGGGAAAGGGGAAAGGTAAAGGTGATGGAAAGGATCGCAGCCGAAGTCCGAGTACAGACAAGAAGAAGATACCATGCAAATACTTCGTGAAAGGTAACTGCACTATGGGGAAAGATTGCCCATTCAGTCACAAGAAACCCAGATCACCATCCAGAGGATCTTCTGCCGGAAAGAATGATAAGCCAGTATGTTGGATGTGGATTCGAGGAACTTGTGACAAAGGGAAGGATTGCAAGTTCTACCATGACCCAAAAGCCTCTCCTAAGAAAGGGATATCTGCACCAGCTGACTCAGGAGACGATAGGCCAAAGCCCAAGGCAAAACCCAAACCGAAGCCTAAGGCGAAGCCTGGAGCCCCAGCCATTGACGGTGAACTCTTCATGGACGAATCCGAAGATGAAGGGATTGCTGCATCCGCCAAGGCAAGAGAAGGAGGTGCAAAAGTATCCTTTGATGAAGAGACTTGTGAGATCATGTTGAACGAAGCGATCTACTCAGTCAGGAACAAATGGAAGGTAGTAGAAAGGAAACCTCTACGTCCAGACATCAAACGATACGATGAGAAAGAGCTCACCTGCTACACGAGGAAAGAACAAATCAGATTTGAAGAAAAGGTCGCAGAGGCAAGAGGCATATTGATGGTCCCCTACACTGAGATCAAGAGGGTCCGAATACCAGTTGGACCAAAGGGTGACCTAGCGGTCACTATGTCTTTTGACGAAGATGACGGCCTAGTTTTCCATCATAAAGTCATTCCTCATGTATGCGAGGGAAAGAAAGATCATGCAGACACAAAGACATTGTCTATTCCAGCCAAAGGGTCAAGAACAAAGTTCATCATGGACACAGGATGTGGGTATGATTTGATATCGAAAGGCAGAGTCAAGAAATTAGGTCTGGAAGTGAGAGAAAGCGACCAATCAATGTCATTCTATACCGCAAATGGAGTGACATCCACAAAGGGAGTCGCCGACATTCATTTCGACGAATTTGACTCTACCTACTCCCCATTCGTCTTAGATGAGTCTCCTTCAGTACTGTCTGTTGGAAAGAAATGCATGGAGGAAGGTTACACATTCATATGGCCAGCCTGCGGCAACCCGTACATGGTTTCCCCGAACTACAAGAAAATCATGTTAGAAGTAGAGGGAAACATCCCATATATTGTCAAGGGCAGTGACTTCTGTAACCCCACCGACGATGTAAGGGCGGAGATGATCGCAAGGCTCACCCTAGGAGAAGGTGAAGCTGATTACCAATCGGCTTTCATCAACTGTGATGTGGATCCTCAAGGCGTCATGTGTGATGATGACGACCTCCCTGTGATTGAGCCTCCAAAAGTCAAAAGGCGAAAGAGGAATAAGAAGTTCAAGGCATCTCCTGGAGAAGAAGATGAGGTAGGATCAGATGTCGCCGGAGACAGTGAACCAGAAGCTGACGATGATGATGCAGATGACATCGAGGTGGATGTTGTTGACGGTGCAAGTAGAATGGTGAGAAGAGGAACTCTGAAAGCAGATGCCAGGAAAATCGAGCATCTACTCACACATCGTTACAAGAATCCCTACTGTGAGTCATGCATCAGAGCAAAGATGAAACACTTCAAGACGCATCGAGGAGCGTTCAAGAGAAAGCTCAAAGCTTTTGGAGATCTGGTTACCTTTGATTTTGTCGATACGAGGAACATCCTTGATCAAGGGATCAGTACTGATCGAGAGATCCTCGTCATTCGTGACAGGTACACAGGCGTCATATGGGCCTATCCGTCGAAAGAGAGGTTTACCAAGGACGTGGTCAACGCAATAAACCACTTCAAAGGGTTGAAGAAGATCAAGATTGCTTATGCCGACAAAGCCCCAGAGTTTGAGACGGCTATGAAGCAGCTGAAGATCCCATTCGATCACTCTCTACCGAATCATCCTCAGAACAATTCTCTGGCGGAGAGGAACAATCAGTTCATTATGATGACAACCGCAACTTGTCTCTTGGAAGCGGGGTTACCGCCATGTTTCTGGAGCTATGCAGTAGAATGCGTCAGCCATCTTTTGAACA